AAAGGCAATATTCAAGCGGAGGGGTGGGGGTTCCTTGGAATCAGGAAAGAATAAAAATAGATTACTGTGATTCTGATGATTGTAAAGGGAAGAAAGATCTCCCCTGAAACTTGATAGGAGCAGGTGCAGAGCAGGAGAAAACATGTTTACTCAATAGGCTGCCACAGATCATCAAGGGTAAAGGTGAGTTGGGCAGAACATGACTGACATCAGAAGAGCCCTGAGGTTGGATCAGGCCAAAGTCCAGCATCCTGTTCTCACAATGGCCAACCAGGTGACCCAAAGGGAAGCCCACAAGCTGGAGATGAGAGAAGAACTTTTCCTACATGCTATTTTACTACCTCCAACAGAGGAGCGATAGCATATCAATTCACTTAATTGCAAGAGGTCCACCAGGATGATCAAGGGTCTAGAAGTCAAGCCTTATGAGGAACGGTTGAAGGAGGTGCGTATGTCTAGCCTGGGAAAGAGGAGTCTGAGAGGAGATATGATAGCTATCGTTAAATATCTGAAGGGCTGTCACATGGAGGATGGAGCAATGTTGTGTTTCTGGAATGTCAGGAGTTAACACTCCAGGAGCGTTCTTATCAACTGGGTGCACTGCCCACATGATCCATGCTTGTTCCTTTGATTTGTGCTTTGTGGGGGCTGAGCTCTCTCTGGAGAGCAGTCTGTCTGGGAACATTAACAAGGTCATTTCGGTTTTTGTTAAGAGCTGTTAGACAGTGGAAAGGTCTCCCTCAGGAGGCTGTGGACTCTCCTTCACTGAAGGTTTTTAAGCAGAGGTCGGAGGGCCACATGTTCTGACTGCCTTAGGGGATTTGGACTAAATGACCTTTGGGTCCCTTCCAACTCTTAACATTCTATGATTCTATGAAATAGGCTTACACAATGAATTTCAAAAACCAACAAGAGTATTAAATCTTTCAATAAAAGACGTCACACATCGCCGCCACGGTAGGAGGGTCCAACATTTTCTCTCCCCTTCTCTTATTGCTGTTTGGCTCTGCATTAAACTGCTTCTTCTGCTGCTGACCACTAGGTGCCATTTCTTCATTCTGGGCATTGGGCATCCCTTTTGGACCCCATCCATTAACCCCTGTGCTGCTGGATGTGGCAGGTGGGCCAAGCCAGCAATAATGGGAGCTCTCAGTTAAGATGACATTCTCAACTCTGCCCCTTCCTTCACTATTAGACTCTCAGGGCCTACTTTGCTTTACCCAAGCTTCTAGCTCAACCAGAGCCTGGTGCAAATTGACGACTATGGGGAGGGGCATCAAAAGAACATCAGATGAGTCCTGCACCTGTGTTGGGATGAATGAGGCTAATGTAGTCCAGCATTCTGTTCTCACAGCAGCCAAACAGATGCCCCAAGGAAGCCTGTAAGCACACTGGAGCTGATTACTGCAGCACTCTCCCAATGCGTAATTCAGAACTAAGGCCCAGGATACCTCTGAGCACATGCTCACATCAGGAATTCACTTTTAGCACCAGATTTTGGGTTTATATGGTTGTAACACAATGTTACACCCCTAATCTCCATCAATTTCTCTTTACTGAAGCAGCCTCATTGAGGGGTATGGTGGAGAAGGCCTTTTTTGTTGTTGTGCAGGATTTTCATTTAGGGTCACCCCTCTGATGGTTTAGGATTAATCAAACTGAGATGTCTGACTGCAGGCAGCAATCGTACAGATTCTAGATGGGAGAGGGGCTTGTCAGTTATTAAGATCATAAAGGAAGACACCAGAAATAATGTCATAAAAGGAGATTTTACTTCAAGAATTAGTGTCCGTAATACAGGAAAGAAATCTGAAGGAAACAGCACGAGAGATCAATATAAACTGACACATGCAAAGCAGCAAAGGTATTTCCAGAGAGACGGATTCTGCCCAGGTGCAGCTATTTCTGAAGAGCAGACAATTGCCTGACTTAAAAACACTTGGTGCTATACTTTGAAATTGTTAGCATAGAAAATAGAAAATGCCTACATGAGGCCATTATCACATGCATTACGATACTCTGTAGATGGCACAAAACTTTTCCAAGTTCTCTTTATCTACAAGTCTGACAACTTTAATTTTCTGGGACCATTTATCTCTTATCTGACTATGTAAAATCAATGTCCATGTCCAGTCCAAAACCAAAACTTCAGTCATGTCCTTCCATGTCCTAGTTTTCTCCTAGTCTTGCATTTTTCATCCTCATCAAGAATCATCTGCCAAATTCATCTCTCTTCTCATAAACTATTTGTAAATGTGTATGAACTTTTTCAGATACTGGCTGAGACCCTAACTGCCCACAGTCTCCCCAGAGGGGTTCAAGTCCTGGTTATTTTCTGCTTGGACTACAACAATGTGCTTTACATGGGGCTACCCTTGAAGGTGACTCGGAAACTACAACTAATCCACAATGCGGCAGCTAGACTAGTTGACTGGGAGAGGCCACCGAGACCATATAGCATCGGTCCTAAAGGATCTTCAGAGGCTCTCAGTACGTTTCTGAGCACAATTCAAAGCATTGGTGCTGACCTTTAAAGCCTAACTGGCCTCTGCCATGTATACCTGAAGGAACGTCTACACCCAATCATTCTGCCTGGACACTGAGGTCCCCCTTTGAGGGCCTTTTGCTGGTTCCCTCACTGCAACAAGTGAAGTTACAGGGAACCAGGGCAGAGAAGAAGTGAAGACTTTGGATTTGATATCCCGCTTTATCACTACCCGAAGGAGTCTCAAAGCGGCTAACATTCTCCTTTCCCTTCCTCCCCCACAACAAACACTCTGAGAGGTGAGCAGGGCTGAGAGACTTCAGAGAAGTGTGACTAGCCCAAGGTCACCCAGCAGCTGCATGTGGAGGAGCGGAGACGCGAACCCGGTTCCCCAGATTACTAGTCTACCGAGAGAGCCTTCTCAGTAGTGGCACCCCCCTCCCAAGATGTCAAGAAGATAAAGAACAACATAACTTTTAGAAGACATCTGAAGGCAACCCTGTATTGGGAAGTTTTTAATGTGTGGTGTTTTATTATGTTTTGATATGTGCTGTAATCCACCCAGAGTGGCTCTAGAAATAAATAATAAATTATTCTTATTCTTATTAGATTCCCATAGGATCTTTTACCAATATCTCTTATGTAGCTAGTTTAATATCATTTCCCCCCTAATTTAGCTAATTTCATTTTGTATTTTAACAATTCAGTTTGCAACGTCTTAAGCAGCTTATGAAATCCTGCTATGGATACCCTGGTTATCTCCTGCTTGGACTACTACAATGTGACTCATGTGGGAAACCCTTGAAGTTGACTCAAAAATATGGGTCATGAGCAGTTTAACTCCACTTGAGATTGTGGCTGGGACTTCTACCTGTACAATTTTATGGTACCCCTAGAGCTAAGAGTCAAATGTCATGTTTAGTTTTTTCTTGTCAGGTGCTCCCTCATGTTCAAATCAGGCCTCAATATAATAATGTAGCATTTGGGAATGAAGATGCAGCCCAGGAGCCCAGCACTGGAGGCCAAGATAGAGAAGATCTGAACGGCTACCATGTATTTCCCCTTGGTGCTCAGGTAGGTGGGCACAAAGGACACCCAAACACTGCAGAAGACCAGCATGCTGAAAGTGATCAGCTTGGCTTCATTGAAGGCCCCAGGCAGATTCCTTGCTAAGAAAGCCACTGTGAAGCAGATGGCAGCCAGGAAGCCCATGTAGCCAAGAGAACCATAAAACATGGCAACAGACCCTTCATTGCATTGGACAATGATCTCTCCAAGCTGGGAGCTCAGGTCAAAGTCTGGGAATGGAGGAGAGATCCCCAGCCAGATGGTGCAGATGAGAACTTGCACACTGGAGCAGGAAATGACAATGGAGTGGGCCAAACTCTTCCCCAGCCATCTCCTCACCTTGTTCCCTGGCTTAGTGGCCAGGAAGGCAAGGACCACTGTGATGGTTTTTGCCAAGACAGAAGAGACAGCAACTGAAAAGATGAGGCTGAAGGCTGTTTGTCGGAGAAGGCAGGTCACTTTCCTTGGCCTCCCAATGAAGAGGGAGGAGGACAAAAAGGAGAGCAGTAGAGAGATGAGGAGGATGTAGGAGAGGTCCCTGTTGTTGGCTTTGACTATTGGAGTTTCTTTGTATTTAAGGAAGATTCCTAACACAAAGCCTGTGGTTAAGGATAAGAAGAGAGCAAGTGAAACCAGGAGGCTCCCCAAACATTCTTCATAGGTCAGGAAGGTAGATATTTTGGGGACACATTGATCTCGGTCTTCATTTGGATGCTCATCTTCTGGACATTTGGTGCATTCATTAGCATCTGCATTGAGAAAAATAGAGATGGGAAAATTAAGTTTCTTGGTGCTGTGGGGACATTAAAAAGGTAAAGGGACCTCTGACCATTACAGGCTGGCAAAAGGTGAACCCTCCTTGAAGAGGGCATTTCATTCATGGGGTGACATTTTCAGTGCTATTTTCTAGAAAAAGAGGTGCCTGTCAGGGAATGGTCTGAATCAGAGGATTGGGGAATGCGTTCTCAGGCAGATCAGCTCCTCTCTGAAGAGGGAGAGACACAGACACCGAGCAGATTAGGTCAGAGTTACCTAGCTACAAGATAATGGAAAGAGAACAGAAGGGAGGGAACAGCGAGCAAGGATGTCATAGGAGAGTGTGGGGGACCCTCCCTCCCCACAAACTAGGAAGTCCATATGTATTAGAGAACAAAGGATGCAGAGAGCAGGAGGAACTTCCCGTTGGTGCCAGGATGTCGTTGGGGGGGGGATGTTTAGAAGGGGAAGGATTTAGAGTAGCCAACTGCTCTCCTTATGCGGATCTTTGCTTGCAACCAGATGACTGAATAAAAAGAGTATAAATTATAAACTGCTCATTAATTCTTGTCTGTAGAATTACCAAAGGCAGAGGAGGACTGTCCACGCCTGACAGTGCCAGAACTCATCATGAATGCCTCCATTGTTCTCTTAGAATGCCAATGGTGCCCACCTGACAGATGACGGAACTAGCCATTATTAACATCATGTTTGCAGTGGCTCAAATGTTTGTCCCATCTTCCCATCAAAGGCTATTTTCTCCAAGTTCCTCTCCTACCTTTCTGAGTGGAGATGGTCCCTTCTGAGCAGGGAGAACAATCATAGCAGCATGGCGGCTTTCCTTCCTGAACTTTTCTGGAATATCCAGGGAGACAGCTTTCTGTGCATCTTGACCGAGGGACGGTCTAGGCATGAAGAGAAAATTGAGCATTAAGGAGAAAATGAAAGGTGAATTTATACCTTTGGACACAGATAATAGAATTTTGGAAGGATCTCGGAGAGGAGATATTTGTTTCCGATAACCTCAGGTGACCCCAGACCATATTTTGGACAGTTACATTTTTCTGTGTTTTTTTGCAGAGCTGCATGGCAGAGACACCTTTTTCGAGCCTGGCATAAACCATCGTATGCAGATCAGCAATAAAACAAGTCGTCCATCTGTTGCCATCACATCTGCCAATGGAGTCATTGGTGTTGCTTCCAAAGACCCCCTAATTTGGTGTCCAGTTTGCTTGTTTGCCATGTCTCTATGCCCAAACAAATGTGGAATACCTTACTATACTCCAGCTTTACCCAAGCTGTTGCTCCTCTGATATCTTTGCACAATGCTGGCTAGGGTGCACGCGACTTGTAGTCCACAATATTTGGAGGGCACCAAGTTGGGGAAATGTGTTTGGAAAATCTCCTATTTACATTGAAATTTTATACAAGTTTCCTCAAGAGCAGGTTCCATTAAACTCAGTGGGACTTAGCTCCAGAGAAGTGCCCACAGGTTTGCAGTCAAAGCCTCATATGTACTATTCAAAATGTTATTAGAGCATAGCTGATGTCATAGTTAATAAAATGACAGATCCAATTTTTCCTACCTTCTTAAATAGCTTGGGCCATACAATTGCTTCTGGGTTAATGGTGAACTTCAGATTTGAGGACTTTAGTCTCTCTATTCTCCCAATTTTCACTCTATCATGAGAGTTATTAGGAAACAGCACCCAATTCACAATATCGAAGTCAATGGCCAGTGCCCCATTCTCATCCAAGTACTGTCCATCAGCTGAAGTATTAGAGTAGAACTGGACTTCTTTCAAGAAACGATGAAGCTAGATGACAGAGGAAAATCCAGCAATGAGTTAGCAGGGCTGAATTATAAACATGGTTTCATGTTCTCTCTGCATCCTAATCTTTTCTGAATAAGAACCACTGTATCTCTCATTTGGAACCATGTGACTGTTCTAGATTATAAGACACCCTCAATCAACTTCAAAATTTTGGGGGTGACGAAAATCAACATTATTACATAAATTAGGAAAGGTTGATTTGGAGGGATAAAATAGGAGCCACTTCAGCAGGGTCTCAGATTATGAAATCAGGGTCTGAGAGATGGTCCTTAAGGTATTTTGGTCCTCAGCCATTTAAGGCTTTATAGGTCAAAGTTGGACTTTGATAGATAGATAATTTATTGCCGTCAAAGACCAGCTCACATAACACAATAAAAACAGCGTTCATAAAGATAAAATATGCAATTAGAGCAGATTACAGCAATAGTTCATAAGTTAAAATTGAGATATATACATACACCTGTACAACTGAGATTTGGGCTACCATAAAAATTGACCCTGAGGTGCCCCAAAGGGTGACTCCAGCTTTTCCCTAGTAAGCTATTTTATTCTAGAGCAGCGGTTCTCAACCTGTGGGTCCCCAGATGTTGTTGGACTACAACTCCCATCATCCCTGAGCTCTGGCCTTGCTAGCTAGGGGTGATGGGAGTTGTAGTTCAACAACATCTGGGGACCCATAGATTGAGAAAGGCTGTTCTAGAGGATGATCTGTGCCTACAAATCTGGGCGCAGAATCTGGCTACCAGCCAGGTCGTCTTATTATCTTTGCCTAAGAGGAGAAAATTAGGTTTAGACTTGTCTGAAAGATCAGCGAGCCTCTTCAGCAAAGGATCAATGGTGTCAATCTCAGCATAAAAAGGACATCTAAAAAATACATGTTCAGGGCTTCCTATTTCCCCTAATGGGCAGGCGCAAAGTCTCTGTGCATACAGGACTCTTCTATAGGAGCCTTCCAGAACCGATGAGGGCAAGACCAAGCTTCTAGCAAGAGTAAAAGCCCTTCTTGCATTTCTGGATGCAAGGAAATAGAGATATGTTGCTGGAGCGGCTATGTATCTCCCGTTTTCTATGATTTTATAGAATCATAGAATCATAGAATCATAGAGTTGGAAGAGACCACAAGGGCCATCGAGTCCAACCCCCTGCCAAGCAGGAAACACCATCAGAGCACTCCTGACATATGGTTGTCAAGCCTCTGCTTAAAGACCTCCAAAGAAGGAGACTCCACCACACTCCTTGGCAGCAAATTCCACTGTCGAACAGCTCTTACTGTCAGGAAGTTCTTCCTAATGTTTAGGTGGAATCTTCTTTCTTGTAGTTTGGATCCATTGCTCCGTGTCCGCTTCTCTGGAGCAGCAGAAAACAACCTTTCTCCCTCCTCTATGTGACATCCTTTTACATATTTGAACATGGCTATCATATCACCCCTTAACCTCCTCTTCTCCAGGCTAAACATGCCCAGCTCTCTTAGCCGTTCCTCATAAGGCATCGTTTCCAGGCCTTTGACCATTTTGGTTGCCCTCCTCTGGACACGTTCCAGTTTGTCAATGTCCTTCTTGAACTGTGGTGCCCAGAACTGGACACAGTACTCCAGGTGAGGTCTGACCAGGGCAGAATACAGTGGCACTATTACTTCCCTTGATCTAGATGCTATACTCCTATTGATGCAGCCCAGAATTGCATTGGCTTTTTAGCTGCCGCGTCACACTGTTGGCTCATGTCAAGTTTGTGGTCAACCAAGACTCCTAGATCCTTTTCGCATGTACTGCTCTCAAGCCAGGTGTCCCCCATCTTGTATTTGTGCCTCTCATTTTTTTGCCAAAGTGAAATACTTTACATTTCTCCCTGTTAAAATTCATCTTGTTTGTTTTGGCCCAGTTCTCTAATCTGTCAAGGTCGTTTTGAAGTGTGATCCTGTCCTCTGGGGTGTTAGCCACCCCTCCCAGTTTGGTGTCATCTGCAAATTTGATCAGGATGCCCTTGAGTCCATCATCCAAGTCGTTGATAAAGATGTTGAATAAGACCGGGGCCAAGACAGAACCCTGTGGCACCCCACTAGTCACTCTTCTCCAGGATGAAGAGGAACCATTGATGAGCACCCTTTGGGTTCGGTCAGTCAGCCAGTTACAAATCCACGGAGTGGTAGCATAGTCAAGACCGCATTTTACCAGCTTCTTTAGAAGAATATCATGGGGCACCTTGTCAAATGCCTTGCTGAAATCAAGGTAGGCTACATCCACTGCGTTCCCTTCATCTACCAGGCTTGTAATTCTGTCAAAAAACGAGATAATCGGGGACCCTTGTAAAGTCCTGTTGTCTCTCTGTGTCCATGATTCTTTGCCGAACCACAGATCTAGCTTGGCCCAGGCCCATAGTTATGAGGGTTTGAGAAGCAAGGCCCAGTTTCTGAAGAGTGTTTAAGACTGCTGTCTGCCAAAGTTCGACTTTGACTTGGGTCTGGAAAATTATTGGCAGCCAGTGTGGTTGGACCAGGATCGGTGTAATATGCTCAAACAGTGTTGTCCCAGTGAACAACATGATGGTCGAAGTCTGAATCTTCTGAAGATTCTGAATTGTCTTCAGAGGCAGCCCTACGTATAACACAGAAGTGTGATTTTAACTGGAAGACAAAAGCTTTCAAGAGTATTGCTAATGACAGTTTAATATGGTAGTATCTAATCCTAAGTGTTCTTGTTACATTTTGTAAAAAGTAATTCCTAATATTCATATTAAATTAAGGTTACCAGATTTTTTTCAAAGAATCCGGGGACAGGTTTTTTTTTGAAAAAAGAGAAAAAGTTATTTAAAAAGTTATTTAAAAATAATAATTAAGAAGTAATATCCTCTCTTCTGTGGTCTCCTCTGTTGTGCGGCCTTCCTCTGTGCCCCAGCCTCCTCTCTTGGAGCACTAGCCACCGTGGAGTAGGCTCAGGTCAGGCCTAGGCTCAGCCACGTGTCCTTGCCCTCCCAGTGCTCTCCTATCTCTTGTCCTCAGCGGCGGCAGCGGTGCGACAAAGTCGGGGCTCCCCTCTTCTTTCTCCTTCCTCTTTCTCTCTCTTCCTTCTCCTCTCCTCCTTCTCCCTACATCGGCTCCGGGGTTTTCCTGGCCCCGGAGCACCACTGGGCAGTAGACCGCGTGGACGGTTACCCTAGCTCCCATCTCGATTTGGGTCGTGGGGGGGTCAGCAGTACCCCCAGTTGACACCCCAGGCATCCTGTTCCCCCTCAGCAGTGGCAGCGGCAGCGGCAGCGGCAGTGTCAGTGTCAGCAGCCCGGAGCCAGCATGGTAGCGCAGTTGGCACTGGCTGGCTTCAGGAGCTGCTCGTTGCCGTGGCGCCCGCCATTTTGCCTCGCTAGAAGTCCCCATATAATGTGTCTTCTGCCATTGAACCAATCACGCAACATTCATTCCCTACTAGTAAATCTACAACACTTAAAATACAAATCTGGGAACATTAAATGAAATCCGGGGACATTCCGGGGACAGATTTTGTCTAGGGACATATTTGTAAATCCAGGGAGTGTCCCGGGGAAACAGGGACACCTGGTAAATATATTAGATCTAGATTCTACATGTTTAGACCTTTTGTGGATTCCCAAACAATGCAGTATAGGAGGCTGCTAAGAAGTAGATAACTGTTGGTCCAACGAGCTCCACATCTTTCTCACGTGGTGGGGCCTTTCAAGTCAGTCTATAAGTTGCTGCCTGCAAATCATTGGATGATACTTTTGTCTGCAGGAATATAGCCTGAATCTGTAGGCTAGACCTGCTGAACAGTGATGGGCCAATTCTGTTGTGCTCTTTCTGTAACTCATGTAGAATTCCCTTCCCCTGGAAACCTGGATGGGAGAAGCTCTGATTGACTTCTGCCAGCAGGTGAAAACAATGTCAATGGCCAGTCAGTCAATGTAGACAATATTAACCAGTGTTCTGACACAGTTCAAGACAGATTCAGATGATCCTATCATGGTGATTCCAGAGCAGTAACAATAAATTCCAGTTTGTAAAAGGAAAACAACATACCTGCCATGGTTGTAGCTTTTGAAGTTCCATGCTGCCTCCACCCACAATCGACATCCTCTTTGACCTGGATGAATATGCAGCATTTAAGGCCTGAGCCACAGCTTGGATACTCAGGTAGTTCACATAGCTGTCTTGGGACTGAATTCTTTCAATCTCTTCCTGGGGCAGCATCTTCACATTATCCTTCTCTCTGCATTTGGTCATACCTCTCACAGACAAGGCATGCTTGGAATATGAACAATCAAATGCTTCTTCTGAATACTGTTGACTAGCCAAGGACATTGGCCCATAATAGTCCTTCGTCATCCTTTTTTTGGTCTTCACTACAAAGGACAAAGAGCCATGAGCATATTGGAAGCAGTGAATATCACATAGGAAAATTTTGTTCTGAAGACCTGTGGTTACCCAGACTTTCCCCCCAGTTTGTATCCTTTCCAGTAAGGACTGTACCTCTATGATGATAAAAACTCCACTTTGAGAATCTGCAAAGTAAACAAATACATGGGCTTGTCTCCACATGGCAGGTGGTTCATGGGGTATCCACAGCCAAGTATCTTGTAGTATTCTTTGTGTGAAGGCAACACATATTTCCCGTTTGTTCATCAGAGGTGTAAAAGTACGCAGGAACCTTTCTCCACTGTCATTGTCTGGAGCAAAGAGGCCGACCCATGTCCACCTGAAATGCAGGAGGAGTTGGACCATCCCTTGGTACTGCGTTTCTTGGTTTGGGACCATCCGGTAGACAAAAGGGGACTGGAATTTATCAGAAAGAACAAAGCCATAACTGAGCTGGTGAGAAAAGGGAAAGAGAATGATGGCTTGTGTTTCAGCATTAAGACCCGATACGTCTATGTGAAGAATGCTGACAGATTTAGTGCAAACCTCACCGTTTTTTTGGAAGTAAAACAATATTATTATTAGTATTTAAAAATAAGCAATTATTATACTGATTAATTGTATTTTAGTGTTTTGTTGGAAGCCACCCAGAGTGGCTGGGGAAACCCAGCCAGATGGGCGGGGTATAAATAATAAATTATTATTTATTATTATTATTATTATTATTATTATTATTATTGGCAAAATTCTCTACGCAGTTAAAAAAGAACCAATAAAAACCAATCAAGATGGTAAAACTCTATAATCAAACATCAATTAAAAGGCCTGTTGTAAAGAAAGGAAAGGAAGGGGGGGGAGCGGAAAAAGAGAAAAGATTTGCATAGACCCTAGAAAGACAGTAGGAAAGGGGCCTGTCTGTTCTCTTTTTTTAAAAAAAAAAATATTTATTAAGGTTTCAAAAGAAAAGAAAAATTACATAGATAAAAAGAAAAGACAAAAAAAAAGAGATAAAAAAGAGAAAAAAAAATACAAAGTACCAAATACAGAAAAAAGATAAAAAACCACTTAAAAACAAATCAATCTTTCATATCTTACACTTCATTTCCTTGCTTCCCTGACCTCCTCCCACCTCCCTTTTTTGTATTCCAGTTCAATTAGTTAATTCAGCAATTCCTTTCCCTCTTTGTTTTTATCTTAATCCTTAAACTTAATATATTATAACTTTAGATTTTCACCTGTTAACAATCCATTTTTACATATATCTTTATAACATTGCTGCTAAAACCACTTAACTTCATTCTGTCATCATTCTAACATTCATTAATTTTGCAGTATTTCTGTAAATAGTCTTTAACTTTCTTCCAATCTTCTTCCACCGACTCTTCTCCCTGGTCTCGGATTCTGCCAGTCATTTCCGCCAGTTCCATATAGTCCATCACCTTTATCTGCCATTCTTCCAGAGTGGGTAAATCTTGTGTCTTCCAGTACTTTGCAATAAGTATTCTTGCTGCTGTTGTGGCATACATAAAGAGAGTTCTGTCCTTCTTTGGCACCAATTGGCCGACTATGCCCAGGAGGAAGGCCTCTGGTTTCTTCAAGAAGGTATATTTAAATACCTTTTTCATTTCATTATATATCATCTCCCAGAAAGCCTTAATCCTTGGGCACGTCCACCAAAGGTGAAAGAATGTACCTTCAGTTTCTTTACATTTCCAGCATTTATTATCAGGCAAATGGTAGATTTTTGCAAGCTTGACTGGTGTCATGTACCACCTGTATATCATTTTCATAATATTCTCTCTTAAGGCATTACATGCCGTAAACTTCATACCTGTGGTCCATAACTGTTCCCAGTCAGCCATCATTATGTTATGTCCAACATCTTGTGCCCATTTAATCATAGCAGATTTCACCGTTTCTTCCTGAGTATTCCATTTCAACAGCAAGTTATACATCTTTGACAAAATCTTAGTTTTGGGTTCTAACAGTTCTGTTTCTAATTTTGATTTTTCCACCTGGAAGCCAATTTTCTTATCCAAATTATATGCCTCCATTATCTGATAGTAATGAAGCCAATCTCGCACTTTGTTTTTTAGTTTCTCAAAACTCTGCAGTTTCAGTCTATCTCCCTCTTGTTCCAGAATTTCCCAATATTACGGCCATTTGGCCTCCATATTGAGCTTTTTCTGAGCTTTCGCTTCCATCGGTGACAGCCACCTTGGGGTTTTATTTTCCAGTAGGTCCTTATATCTTATCCAAACATTAAACAATGCTTTCCTGACAATATGATTTTTAAATGCTTTATGTGCTTTGACCTTGTCATACCACAAATATGCATGCCATCCAAAGACATTATTAAAACCTTCTAAGTCCAAAATGTCTGTGTTTTCAAGAAGCAGCCATTCTTTCAGCCAGCAAAAAGCTGCTGATTCATAATAAAGTTTAAGGTCTGGCAGGGCAAATCCACCTCTTTCCTTTGCATCCGTTAGTATTTTAAATTTTATTCTAGGTTTCTTGCCCTTCCAGACAAATCTAGAGATATCTCTCTGCCACTTCTTGAAACAATCCATTTTGTCCAAAATTTGCAATGTTTGAAGCAGAAACAACATTCTAGGCAATACATTCATTTTTATCGCAGCAATACGGCCTAGCAGTGAAAGCTTCAAATTTGACCAAATTTCTAAATCTTTTTTCACTTCAGTTCCATAATTCTTCATACCCTCCAACATCTGGGTGAAGAAAAGGCTAAAGAGTAAACACTGCACAGGGGAGGGGGGGAACTTTTCTTTTTTTGTCTTATGTGAGTACCTAATAACACCCCCAGAAAAGAATCGTTGCAATTACTGATCACAAGCAGGAGGGTTAAGAAATGTGTGGAATTAAATTGCTAATCAAAGACATGGCTGGTGGGAAGATCGGGAAGGAATGAAAGTTCTGTGTGACGCAGCAATAAAAAGAGATTTACTATGGCAGGCCTGCCTACAGGAGGATGAGGGGGAGGAGGACCATGGCTTGTTACTATATCGGAATGTGAGTTGGACCTGGCAGGGCCCCCTGAGAAAATTGATGAGAGACTGGCAGGCCTGTGGAAATCAACGGACAGACTGTGGGAAGGTTTTGTACGGATGTGCGGAAATGGCGTCTGTTTTTTTTCTTTTTGATATGGCTCTTGGAGGAGTGTAAAATCCACACAGGATATAACAACGTTTGTTTTCAACCCACTTGTGGAGACTATCAGAGATCACAAAGAAAGGAATATATGATAACAACAAGAAGATGAGGAAAACAACAAAGAGAAGGTACATTAAAGCAGCAGCAAGAGAGATGTTTGGATCCCTTTCGGACCACTAAGTATGGGTACCCCCAACAAAAATTTTAAAATTTGGCTGTGCAATTTGGAACTAATGTGATTTGGAATTAATGTGATGTGATTGGCGTGTTAATAAAAAAATATTTTTTAAAAAAGGAGTAAACACTGCACAAATCTAAGTCAGCTGAGTGGTGCTTTGTTTGCCTCCTTCCAGAAAATCCTGCAGCCAAGCTTGTGCCAAATGTATTGCTCTGCTTTTCTTTGGACCACAGCAGTGAGGCTGAGAGGGAGGTCTTGTCATCTGGGCAGCCCAGGATTTCTGTACCCACTGCCTAGGCTTGTGCACTGTGGACATCACTTTGATAGTGCTAACAGAGTGGTTTGACTTCATCCCAGAGACACACTCCATTGTCTTTCAAGACAGACAGATGCCAACAACAACAACCAGGTGGTTAATGTTGCCAGGTGTGTTTCACTTGGACCCATTGATTACCTGTGGGATCTTGTAGATGCCCAACATGCTTGCAATGTGTGTGGAGATGTCAAATTCACTCTTTTCAAGAACAGCTAGCAGGCTTTTCTGTTTCCCACAGCGGTAGTTTGGAATATTGATTTTCCCACCAGCAAGCAGGTCTGTCATGGAGTCAGAAGTCAGTCTTCCCTCAGAATAGCTATCATATAGGCTGTAGCCCAGGGTGATGTTGGGTAAGATGCTGGGGTTATGATTAATATCCTGAAGAGCAAGGGAGAAGGAAATAACGTGTGAGTTCTTCTTATCCACCCAGCTGCGAAAAAAGTGTGTCACACAGTCAGCCTCAATTCAGTGAAAATGAAAGCCACATTCTTTTTTGTATTAATCAAAGCAACTTGGAAAAGGGACCAGGAGGTAGAGCAAAGTGAGACATAGGTAAACCTGTACCTGTATCTGCAGTATATTTGCAAGGAAGGAGGATGGAGGGAAGCACAGTCAACATTGTCAATTTGCAATTGCATAGATTTTGTTGTGCATGGGGAAAAGAATTGTGTTCCCATTTTATTTACGACAGAAAAACTGCAACTCAAATAAATAATAATAATAATAATAATAATAATAATAATAATAATTTATTATTTGTACCCCGCACATCTGGCTGGGTTTCCCCAGCCACTCTGGGCGGCTTCCATAGAAACCAAAAATACAACCCACAACATCCCTCAACACTTCCTACCTTTTAGAAAACAAGTTATGCTTTGGAGAGCAGTACATGTGAAAACTACTACTAATTACATAAAATACATTATAAAATGCTTTGAAACATGGCTTTCCCACAACTGAACAGACACATAGAATTCTTTAAATAAATGAATGAAATGAAATGAACATTTTCAAGTATATCAGGAAACAAGTTTATCACAGGAAATGGAGAGTAGATAGGAAGCAAAAATACATCAATGCATCATTACTTACATCTCTAGTTTGCTGACGGGGATGTTGGAAAAGGTGAAAGGAGGCTGATCATTAAATAGCCTTGGAGAAGTGACTCCACTAATGAGGTGGTCTGCTAGCCAGTAAAAATTTGCAGGCAATATTTGCTCCTTGATCTGCTTCAGTGGGCATTTTCCTCTCAGCTGAATCCCATTGGTTGCAAGAGGCAGCAGCAGAAGCAGTGTTATCATTCTGGGTCTACCTGCTACGCTTTCCTTGTAGCTGTCCCACCCAACACTAGCTGCTGGTCTTAATAAGCCCCAGGGTTCTTGCAAATCAGAGATTGCAGTGAACTGACAAATCCAGCTCTGGTCTCAGAGCTGAAGGGTGATGGTTCAGTGGTGGAGCATCTATTTTGCACCAAGGTGGTGAGAGGGTGCAATCTCTGCTCCCTGTTCCAGGCAGTGCTGAGGACGTCCCCTTCCTGGAAAGCCAGTCAGCCTAATTGTCAGATCTAGAAGGCAGCATCACACAGATGTAGCTTCCCACTTCACCTGCTCTGTGTCTTGGCCCCCAGGATTTTGTGGCATGATATATATTTTATACATCCAACCTTCCAGGCAGAGTGGAATAAAAAACTGTACTTAATTGTGGTATTTATCTTATTGGTCCCAAAGGCAATATTCAAGTGGTGGGGTGGAGGCTACCTGGATTCAGGAAAGAATAAAAATAGATCACTGTGATTCTGATGATTGTAAAGGGAAGAAAAATCTCCCCTGAAACTTGATAGGAGCAGGTGCAGAGCAGGAGAAAACATGTTTACTCAACAGGCTGCCATGGATCATCAAGGGTAAAGGTGAGTTGGGCAGAACATGATTGACATCAGAAGAGCCCTGAGGTTGAATCAGGCCAAAGTCCAGCATCCTGTTCTCACAATGGTCAACCAGGTGACACAAGAGAAGCCCACAAGCTGGAGATGAGAGCAGAACTCTCCATACATTCTATTTTCCTACCTCCAGCAGAGCAGTGGTAGCATATCAACTTAATTGCAAGAGGAGGTCAACTATGATGATCAAGGGTCTAGAAACCAAGCCTTATGAGGAACGGTTGAAGGAGGTGCTTATGTCTAGCCTGGGAAAGAGGAGTCTGAGAGGAGATAACTTGTTTTCTTTTTCTTTTCTTTTTTTAAAAAAAAATTATTATGCTTTTCATATTTATACAATTCATTAATTTTGAGCAAGCTTGTTTTCTCCTGGAAAGTAGGACTCGACCCATCACAATGCCTGATCACTGAGGTCCCCCTCTGAGGGTCTTCTGGTGGTTCCCTCACTGTGAGAAAATCTTCTGGGTTGTGGTGCCCTCCCTGTGGAACCTCCCCCTTCACATGACAAGGATATAAAGAACTACATCACTTTTAGAAGGCAGCCCTGTATCGGGAAGTTTTGAATGTTTGATTTTTATTATGTTTTATTATGTTTAATATTATGTTTTATATATGTTTTATTGTGTTTAATATGTGCTGTAAGCCACCCAGAATGGGTAGATAGATAGATAGATAGATAGATAGATAGATGATAGATAGATTGATAAAATTCTCATATTTTTTTTAAAAAATGATATTTATTAAAGTTTCAAAAAATACAGGAAAATACAGAATACAGAAAAAAAGTATAAAGTTTTTAAGATATAACAAAAAAGTAAAAAATAAAAAGAAACATACAAAATAAAACAGTTAAAAACACGTTAATTTTCCATAACCTATCTTCCTTGCACTTATTTCCCCGGACCTCCTCGTACCTCCCTTTTTGTATTCCAGTTCAATTTGTTAGTTCAGCAAATCCTTACCATTAAGCTTTTACCCATTTGTAAGCCTTTTTTCGTATCTCTTAAAGCATTACAGCTGGAAACCACTTAATTTCTATCCAACATCCTTCTAAAATTCCTTAATTTTACAATATTTTTGTAAATAATCTTTAAATTTCTTCCAGTCTTCTTTCACTGACTCTTCTCCCTGGTCTCAGATTCTGCCAGTCATTTCCGCCAATTCCATGTAGTCAATCACCTTCATCTGCCATTCTTCCAGAGTGGGTAGATCTTGTGTCTTCCAATACTTTGCAATGAGTATTCTTGCTGCTGTTGTGGCATACATAAAAAGTTCTATCCTTCTTTGGCACCAATTGGCCGACAATGACCAGAAGAAAGGCCTCTGGTTTCTTCAGAAAGGTATATTTAAATACCTTTTTTTTCATTATAAATCATCTCCCAGAAAGCCTTAATCCTTGGGCACGTCCACCAAAGGTGAAAGAATGTGCCTTCAGTTTCTTTACATTTCCAACATTTATTATCGGGCAAATGATAGATTTTTGCAAGCTTGACTGGGGTCATGTACCACCTGTATATCATTTTCATAATATTCTCTCTTAAGGCATTACATGCCGTAAACTTCATACCTGTGGTCCATAACTGTTCCCAGTCAGCAAACATAATATTGTGTCCAACATCTTGTGCCCATTTAATCATAGCAGATTTCACCGTTTCATCCTGAGTATTCCATTTCAACAGCAAGTTATACATTCTTGACAAATTTTTAGTTTTGGGTTCTAACAGTTCTGTTTCTAATTTTGATTTTTCCACCTGGAAGCCAGTTTTCTTATCCAGATTATATGCCTCCATTATCTGGTAATAATGAAGCCAATCTCTCACTTTATTTTTAATTTCTCGAAACTCTGCAATTTCAATTTGTCTCCTTCTTGTTCCAAAATTTCCCAATATTTCGGCCATTTGGCCTCCATATTGAGCCTTTTCAGAGCTTTCGCTTCCATTGGTGACAACCACCTTGGAGTTTTATTTTCCAATAAATCCTTGTATCTTGTCCAAACATTAAACAATGCTTTCCTGACAATATGATTTTTAAATGCTTTATGTGCTTTGACCTTATCATACCATAAATATGCATGCCATCCGAATACGTTGTTAAAACCTTCTAAGTCCAAAATGTCTGTATTTTCAAGAAGTAGCCATTCTTTCAACCAGCAAAAAGCTGCTGATTCATAATAAAGTTTAAAGTCTGGCAGGGCAAATCCACCTCTTTCCTTTGCATCAGTTAATATCTTAAATTTTATTCTGGGCTTCTTGCCCTGCCAGACAAATCTAGAAATATCTCTCTGCCACTTCTTGAAACAGTCCATCTTGTCCACAATTTGCAATGTCTGAAACAAAAACAACATTCTAGGCAATACATTCATTTTTATCGCAGCAATACGGCCCAGCAGTGAAAGCTTCAAATTTGACCAGATTTCTAAATCTTTCTTCACTTCGGTCCAACATTTTTCATAATTATCTTTAAATAAGTTCCCATTTTTGGCTGTCATATTAATCCCCAAGTATTTCACTTTCTTTACCACAGTCAATCCTGTCTCATTCTGAAACCTATCTCTTTCAATCGGTGTTAAATTTTTCTCTAATACCTTAGTTTTTAACTTGTTCAATTAAAAACCTGCCACTTGACCAAATTCTTGAATTAATCCTAAAACTCTTTTAGTGCTAGATTCTGGCTCCTGTAACGTCAATACTAAGTCATCTGCAAATGCTCTCAGTTTGTACTGTTTAGCTCTGACCTGTATACCTTTAACCAACCGGTCCTTTCTAATCATGTTTAACAGGACCTCCAGGACCGATATAAAAAGCAGTGGGGAAATTGGGCACCCCTGTCGTGTCCCTTTTTCTATCTTAAATTCTTCCGTGACCACATTATTTACAATTAATTTGGCCTTTTGTTCAGAATATATTGCACCTATACCATTTTCAAAACCTTGGCCTACCCCCATCCCATGTAAGTTCTTCTTCATAAAACTCCAAGAGATATTATCAAAGGCTTTCTCCGCGTCCACGATAAAATTCTCATAAGACCTTTAACCAATATCCCTTACGTAGTCACTTTCTTTCTAATTTAGCTAAGTTCTTTTTGTACTTTAGCAATTCAGTTTGCAACTTCTTAAGCAGCTTATGAAATCCTGCTATGGGTCATGATCAGTTTAACTCCAGTTGAAATTCTGGCTGGGACATCCAGCTATACAATTTTATGATACCCCTAGAGCTAAGGCTCAAATTTCATGTTTAGTTTTTTCTTGTCAGGTGCTCCCTCATGTTCAAATCAGGCCTCAATATAATAATGTAGCATTTGGGAATGAAGATGCAGCCCAGAAGCCCAGCACTGGAGGCCAAGATAGAGAAGATCTGCACGGCTACCATGAATTTCCCCTTGGTGCTCAGGTAGGTGGGCACAAAGGACACCCAAACACTGCAGAAGACCAGCATGCTGAAGGTGATCAGCTTGGCTTCATTGAAGGCTCCAGGCAGATTCCTTGCTAAGAAAGCCACTGTGAAGCAGATGGCAGCCAGGAAGCCCATGTACCCAAGAGAACTGTAAAACATGGCAACAGAGCCTTCATTGCATTGGACAATGATCTCTCCAAGCTGGGAGCTGAGGTCAAAGTCTGGGAATGGAGGAGAGATCCCCAGCCAGATGGTGCAGATGAGAACTTGGACACTGGAGCAGGAAATGACAATGGAGTGGGCCAAACTCTTCCCCAGCCATCTCCTCACCCTGTTTCCTGGCTTAGTGGCCAGGAAGGCAAGGACCACTGTGATGGTTTTTGCCAAGACAGAAGAGACAGCAACTGAGAAGATGATGCAGAAGGCTGTTTGCCGGAGAAGGCAGGTCATGTTCCTTGGCCTCCCAATGAAGAGGGAGGAGGACAAAAAGGAGAGCAGTAGAGAGATGAGGAGGATGTAGGAGAGGTCCCTGTTGTTGGCTTTGACTATTGGAGTTTCTTTGTATTTAGTGAAGATTCCTAACACAAAACCTGTAGTTAAGGATAAGAAGAGAGCAAGGGAAGCCAGGAGGTTCCCCAAACTTTCTTCATAGGTCAGGAAGATTATTACTTTGGGGACACATTGATGTCTATCCTCATTTGGATGCTGATCTTCTGGACATCTGGTGCATTCATCAGCATCTGCATAGAGAAAACACACTTCAGTATCCTAACATCAGTCACACACCTACAGTAGTCTGAATGCTGTGGAGCTGCTCATAGAGTATTTTTAAAAAGGCCCACACTGTTCTTTGAAGTGCTGGCAATCAAGGCTTTAAAGCATGAAATCAGCTGGCATCACTATTGCATTTGGTGATTGACAGGTTGGCAGTAGCACCCAACTGCTATTTTTCACCTAGAAAATTTAGATCTAGTGCAAAGGCCAGAAAAAATTCTGGACCCGGGATTAGACAACCGTGGGTTAAATGGATCACTAGGTTGACTGATAAAGGCAGCTTGTCATGTTCGAATATTGAGAAGCAGAGGTGTTAAGCCTAAACTTATTTTATAATATATTAACGCTAGAATTATAATTTCTAAAATGATATATTGCATTGTTGTTGTTGTTTAGTCGTTTAGTCGTCTCCGACTCTTCGTGACCCCATGGACCAAAGCACGCACGCCAGGCACTTCTGTCTTCCACTGCCTCCCGCAATTTAGTCAAACTCATGCTGGTAGCTTCGAAAACACTATCCAACCATCTCGTCCTCTGTCGTCCCCTTCTCCTTGCACTCTCCATCTTTCCCAACATCAGGGTCTTTTCCAGGGAGTCTTCTCTTCTCATCAGGTGGCCAAAGTATTGGAGCCTCAGCTTCAGGATCTGTCCTTCCAGTGAGCACTCAGGGCTGATTTCCTTAAGAATGGATAGGTTTGATCTTCTTGCAGTCCATGGGACTCTCAAGAGTTTCCTCCAGCACCAGAATTCAAAAGCATCAATTCTTCGGCGATCAGCCTTCTTTATGCTCCAGCTTTCACTTCCATACATCACTACTGGGAAAACCATACCTTTTACTATACGACCTTTGTTGGCAAGGTGATGTCTCTACTTTTTAAGATGCTGTCTTGGTTTGTCATTGCTTTTCTCCCAAGAAGCAGGAATCTTTTAATTTCGTGACTGCTGTCACCATCTGCAGTGATCATGGAGCCCAAGAAAGTAAAATCTCTCACTGCCTCCATTTCTTCCCCTTCTACTTGCCAGGAGGTGATGGGACCAGTGGCCATGACCTTCGTTTTTTTGATATTGAGCTTCAGACCATATTTTGCGCTCTCCTCTTTCACCCTCAATAAAAGGTTCTTTAATTCCTCCTCACTTTCTGCCATCAAGGTTGTGGCATCTGCATATCTGAGGTTGTTGATATTTCTTACGGCAATCTTAATTCCGGCTAGGGATTCATCCAGCCCCGCCTTTCGCATGATGAATTCTGCATATAAGTTAAATAAGCAGGGAGACAATATACAGCCTTGTTGTACTTTCCCAATTTTGAACCAATCAGTTGTTCCATATCCAGTTCTAACTGTAGCTTCTTGTCCCACATAGAGATTTCTCAGGAGACAGATGAGGTGATTAGGCACTCCCATTTCTTTAAGAACTTGCCATAGTTTGCTGCGGTCAACACAGTCAAAGGCTTTTGCATAGTCAATGAAGCAGAAGTAGATGTCTTTCTGGAACTCTCTAGCTTTCTCCATAATCCAGCGCATGTTTGCAATTTGGTCTCTGGTTCCTCTGCCTCTTCTAAATCCAGCTTGCACTTATGGGAGTTCTCGGTCCACATACTGCTTGAGCCTACCTTGTAGAATTTTAAGCATAACATTGCTAGTGTGTGAAATGAGTGCAATTGTGTGGTAGTTGGAGCATTCCTTGTCACTGCCCTTCTTTGGGATTGGGATGTAGACTGATCTTCTCCAAGCCTCTGGCCACTGCTGGCATATTGCGTGTAGCACCTTAACAGCATCATCTTTTAAAATTTTAAATAGTTCAGCTGGAATACCATCACTTCCACTGGCCTTGTTATTATCAGTGCTTTCTAAGCCCATTTGACTTCACTCTCCAGGATGTCTGGCTCAAGGTCAGCAACCACACTACCTGGGATGTACGAGCCATCCATATCTTTCTGGTATAATTCCTCTGTGTATTCTTGCCACCTCTTATTGATGTCTTCTGCTTCTGTTAGGTCCTTACCACTTTTGTCTTTTATTATGGTAATCTTTGTACAAAATGTTCCTTTCATATCTCCAATTTTCTTGAACAGATCTCTGGTTCTTCCCATTCTGTTGTTTTCCCCTATTTCTTTGCATTGCTCGTTTAATAAGGCCTTCTTATCTCTCCTTGCTATTTTTTGGAAATCTGCATTCAATTTCCTGTATCTTTCACTATCTCCCTCACATTTTGCTTGCCTTCTCTCCCCCGCTATTTGTAAGGCCTCGTTGGACAACCACTTTGCTTTCTTGCATTTTCTTTTCATTGGGATGTTTTTTGTTGCTGCCTCCTGTATAATGTTACGAGCCTCCATCCATAGTTCTTCTGGCACTCTGTCCAGCAAATCTAAATCCTTAAACCTGTTCCTCACTTCCACTGTGTATTCATAAGAGATTTGATTTAGATTGTATCTTAGCGGCCCAGTGATTTTTTCCTACTTTCTTCAGTTTAAGCTTGAATTTTGCTATAAGAAGCTGATGATCTGAGCCACAGCCAGCTCCAGATCTTGTTTTTGCTGACTGTATAGAGCTTCTCCATCTTTGGCTGCAGAGAATCAATCTGATTTCGATGCTGCCCATCTGGTGATGTCCATGTGTAGAGTCGTCTTTCCAGGTTCCTAAGAAATATTTTTCTTTACAGCATTGGACTTTCCTTTCGCTTCCAGGCATATCCGCAACTGAGCGTCCTTTCGGCTTTGGCCCAGCCGCTTCATCAGCTCTGAATCTACTTGTACTTGTCCTCTGCTCTTCCTCAGTAGCATGTTGGATGCCTTCCGACCTGAGGGGCTCATCGTCCAGCATCATAACTTTTATATGCCTGTTGTCTTTGTCCATGGAGTTTTTTTGGCAGGGATACTGGAGTGGCTTGCCGGTTCCTCCTCCAGGTGGATCACGTTTGGTCAAAACTCTCTACTATGACCTGTTCACCTTGGGTGCCCTACTTGGCATAGTTCATAGCTTCTCTGAGTTATTCAAGCCCCTTTGCCACGGCAAGCAGTGATCCATGAAGGGGACATATTGCATCAAAATTCTATGATTCCTCCAAGGAACTTGGAGGAGTATTATCGTGTGGCACTGCCTCCATTCCAGAACTGCTGGGACCTCTCAAAAATTGTCAGGTGGTCTCTCAGGTCCTAGTGCTGACTGGCTCCATGGCCAGAAAACAACCCTCCTGAGGCCACAGCTTTGGTGAACCCAATACACCCTGGTCCTCTTGCCCACTTTTCCATCACTCACCAAGATAGTCCCCAGAACCAGATTTACTGCCATGTCCACCCTGCAACATTTGAGGTGGCTTTCAATGCCTTTAAATACTAGTTGCTGGAGATCACATGGGGGTGGGAGGGCTGTTCTGTCTATGCAGCTTCTGGGGTCCCATGGGAATCCCACTGGCCTCTCTTAGAACAAGTTGCTGAGCATTGCTTTTATCATATTCTTGAGGTTTCTGGCAATAGGTGAACCCTCCCCGAAGAGGACATTTCATTCATGGGGTAACATTACCTGTGCTATTTTCTAGAAAAAGAGGTGCCAGAACCCACCATAAATGCCTCCGTTGTTCTCTTAGAATGACAATGGTGCCCACCTGACAGATGACAGAACTAGCCATTACTAACATCATGTTTGCAGTGGCTCAAATATTTGTCCCATCTTCCCATCAAAGGCCATTTTCTCCAAGTTCCTCTCCTACCTTCCTGAGTGGAGATGGTCCCTTCTGAGCAGGGAGAGCAATCATAGCAGCAGGATGGCTTCCCTTCCTGAACTTTTCTGGAATATCCAGGGAGACAGCTTTCTGTGCATCTTGATTGAGGTACGGTCTAGGCATGAAGAGAAAACTGAGCACTAAGGAGAAAGTGATATGTGCATTTGTGCCTTGGGACACAGATAATAGAATTTTGGAAGGATCCCAGAGAAGAGATATTTGCTTCTGATAACCTCAAGCGACCCCAGTCCCTATTTTGGGGCAGTTACATTTTTCTTTGTTTTTTGCAGAGCTGCATGGCAGAGACACCTTTTTGGTGCTTCTACTTCCCCACCCCCACCACCTTTACATTGATATCTCAGAGTTAACAACAAACAGGAGCATGGCATAAACCATCATATGAACATCAGCAATAAAACAAGTCTTCCATCTGTTGCCGTCACATCTGCCAACGGAGTCATTGGTGTTGCTTCCAAAGACTGCACCTAGTGTAGACTTTGGTGTCCAGTTTGCTTGTGTGCCATGTCTCTATGCCGAAACAGAAGTGGAATACCTTACTATACTCCAGCCTTACCCAACTTGGTGCCCCTCAGATATTGTAGCACAATGCTGGCTGGGGTGCATCGGAGTTGTAGTCCACAATATTTGGAGGGCACCAAGTTGGGAAAATGTGTTCTGCTCTGCTTTGGAAAGTCTCCTATTTACTTTGACAGTATGGTGTAGTGGTTAAGAGCGGTAGTCTCGTTATCTGCGGAACCGGGTTCGCGTCTCCGCTCCTCCACATGCAGCTGCTGGGTGACCTTGGGCCAGTCACACTTCTTTGAAGTTTCTCAGCCCCACTCACCTCACAGAGTGTTTGTTGTGGGGGAGGAAGGGAAAGGAGAATGTTAGCCGCTTTGAGACTCCTTAAAGGGAGTGAAAGGCGGGATATCAAATCCAAACTCTTCTTCTTCTTCTTCTATACATGTTTACTCAAGAGCAGGTTCCATTAAACTCAGTGGAACTTAGCTCTAGGAAAGCTCCCACAAGATTGCAGACGAAGCCTCATATGTACTATTCAAAATGTTATTAGAGCATAGCAGATGTCATAGTTAATAAAATGACAGATCCATTTCTCCCTACCTTCTTAAATAGCTTGGGCCACACAATTGCTTCTGGGTTAATGGTGAACTTCAGATTTGAGGACTTTAGTCTCTCTATTCCCCCAATTTTCACTCTATCATGAGAGTTATTAGGAAACAGCACCCAATTCTCAATATCGAAGTCAATGGCCAGTGCCCCATTCTCATCCAGGTACTGCCCATCAGCTGAAGTATTAGAGTAGAACTGGACTTCTTTCAAGAAACGATGAAGCTAGAATGACAGAGGAAAATCCAGCAATGAGTTAGCAGGGCTGAATTATGTAACATGGTTTCATGTTTCCTCTGCATCCTAATCTTCTCTGAATAAGAACCACTGTATTTGTCATTTGGAACCATCTGACTGTTCTAGATTATAAGGCACCCTCAATCAACAGGGTCTCTTATTATAAAATCAGGGTCTGAGAGGTGGTCCTTAAGGTATTTTGGTCCTCAGCCATTTAAGGCTTTATAGATCAAAGTTGGACTTTGATAGATAGATAATTTATTACGGTCAAAGACCATCTCGCATAACACAATAAAAACAGTGTTCATAAGCAGGGCAGAATTATGCAACATGGTTTCATGTTCTCTATGCATCCTAATCTTCTTTGAATAATAAATAATAAATAAGAACCAGCATTATTATATATAGGGAAAGGTTGATTTGGAGGGACAGATCAGTCACTAGACCATAAGGCTCTTAGTCTGAGGGTCATGAGTTTGAGCCCTATGTTGGGCAAAATATTCCTGCATTGCAGAGGATTGGACTAGATGACCCTCATGACCCACCCAACTCTACAATTCTATGATTCTAAGATGTTTGGGGAAATATGTAAAACATGATGAACTTGGCTTTATTAAAGGAAAAACATTAAGTTCTATGAAGGATGAAGTCATCTTTCTGCAGCACGATGAAACTGTAAAGAAGGCTATTGAGTGGCACACTGAGAATCAGATAATGTACAGATATATAAGGAAAATGAGAATATAATATCACAAATACACGATAAAACACACACACACACACACACACCCCACCAACCAATAACTATCCTTCCCCATCCCCTCACACAAACACATTAAAAAGGGGTAGAGAATGTTACTCAGACAAGGGCCAGGTTGAAGAGGAACAGTTTTGCCTGGCACCAAAAGCTGTATAGTGAAGGTGCCAGCCAAACTACCCTGAGGAGAACATCCCACAAATGGGGAGCCACTTCAGAGAAGGCCCGCTCTTGTGTTGCCACCCTCTGGAGCTCTTGAGGCGGCGGCACACAAAGAAGGGTCTCAGATGATGACCTCAGAGTCTGGGTAGGTCTATATGGAGAGAGGTGGTCCTTGAGGTATTGTGGTCCTCAACCATTTAAGGCTTTATAGATCAAAGCTAGGACTTTGAACTGGGTCTGGAAACTAATTGGCAGCAAATGCGGTTGGATTAGAATCGGTGTAATATGCTCAAACGGTGTTGTCCCAGGGCGCAACATGACTACTGAACTTTGAATCTTCTGATGCTTCTGAGCAGTCTTCAGAGGCAGCCCTACGTATAATGCAGATGTGCGGCTTTAATTGGAAGACAAAAGCTTGCAAGCGTATTGCTGTCTAATGATAGTCTAATATGGCAGGGTCTGGTCCTAGTGTCTCTATTACATTTTGTAAAAAGTCATCCTCAATATTCATATTAGATCTAGATTCTACATGTTTAGACCTTTTGTGGATTCCCAAACTATGCAGTGTAGGAGACTGCTAAGAAGTAGATAATTGTTGAATCAGAGCATTGGTCCAACAAGCTCCACTTCTATCTCTATGTGGTGGGGCCTTCGAAGTCAGTCTATAAGTTGTTGCCTGCAAATTATTGGATGATACTTATGTCTTCAGGAATATACCACTGGATCTGTGGACTTGACCTGCCGTACAATGATGGGCCAATTCTTTTGTCCTCCATCTGTAATTTGTGTAGAATTCCCTTTCTCTGGGAACCTGGACGGGAGAAACATTGATGGATTTCTGCCAGCAAGTGAAAACAATGTCAACGGCCAGTCAGTCAGTGTAGACAATACTAACCAGTGTTCTGACGCAGTGCAAGACAGATTCAGCTGATCCTATAATGGTGATTCAAGGGTGAGGACAACAAATTCCAGTTTGCAAAAGGAAAAGGACATACCTGCCATGGCTGTAGCTTTTGAAGTACCAAACTGCCTCCACCTACAATTGACATCCTCCTTGACCTGGATGAATATGCAGCATTTAAAGCTTGAGCCACAGTTTGGATATTCAGATAATTCACATAGCTGTCTTGGGACAGGATTCTATCAATCTCTTTCTGGGGTAGCATCTTCACGTTATTCTTCTCTCTGCATTTGGTCATACCTCTCACAGACAAGGCATGCTTGGAATATGAACAATCAAATGCATCTTCTGAATAGCGTTGACTAGCCAAGGCCATTGGCCCATAGTAGTCCTTTCTCATCCTTTTTTTGGTCTTCATTACAAAGGACAAAGAGCCATGGGTATACCGGAAGCAGTCAATATCACATAACAACATTTTGTTCTGAAGAAGTGTGGTTATCCAGACTTTCCCCCCACTTTGTATCCTTTCAAGTAAGGTCTGAACCTCTATGATTGTGTAAAGTCCACTTTGAGAGTCTGCAAAATAAGCAAATACATTGACTTGTCTCCACAGGATAGGTGCTTCATGGGGTATCCATAGCCAGGTTTTTCGTAGTACTCTTTGTGTGAAGGCAACACAAATTTCCCTTTTGTTCATCAGACGTGTCAAGGTACTCACAAACCTTTCTCCATTGTCATTGTCTGGAGCAAAGAGGCCGACCCACGTCCACCTGAAATGTAGGAGGAGTTGGACCATCCCCTGGTACTGCGTTTCTTGGTTTGGGACCATTTGGTAGACAGAAGGGGACTGGAATTTATCAGTAGGAAGAAATCCATAACTGAGCTGGTGAGGAAAGGGAAAGAGATTGATGGCTCGTGTTTCAGGATTAAGACTGGATTAAGATTCATTAAAAACCAATCAAGATGGTAAAACTCTATAATCAAACTTAAATTAACATGCCTACAGCAAGAAAAGAAAAAGAAAGAAAAGAAAAAGAAAAGATTTGCGTAGGCCCTAGAAAGTCAGTAGGAAAGGGGCCTGTCTGTCCTCAACTGCAAGGGAGTTCCATAATTCTTCATCCCCTCCAACATCTGGGAGAAGAAAAGGCTAAGGAGTAAACACTGCACAAATCCTGCACCAGCTGAGTGGTGCTTTGCTTGCCTCCTTCCAGCAACTCCTGCAGCCGAGCTTGTGCCAAATGTATTGCTCTGCTTTCCTTTGGACCACAGCAGTGAGGCTGAGAGGGAGGTCTTGTCGTCTGGGCAGCCCAGGACCTCCGTACCCACTGCCTAGGCTTGTGCACTATGGAGGTCACATTCATATTGTCAACACAGTGGTTTCACTTCATTCCAGAGACACACGCCATTGTCTTTCAAGACAGACAGATGGTAAGAAAAACAACTATGTGGCTAATGTTGCCAGATGTGTTTCACTTGGACCCACTGATTACCTGTGGGATCTTGTAGATGCCCAACATGCTTGCAATGTGTGTGGAGACGTCAAAATCACTCTTTTCAAGAACAGCTAGCAGCCTTTTTTGCTTCCCACAGCTGTAGTTTGGAATATTGATTTTCCCACCTGCAAGCAGGTCTGTTATGGAGTCAGAAGTCAGTCTTCCCTCAGAATAGCTATCATAGATGCTGTAGCCCAGGGTAATGTTGGGCAAGATGCTGGGGTTATGATTAATATCCCGAACAGCAAGGGAGAAGGAAATAACGTGTGAGTTTTTCTTATCCACCCAGCTGCAAAAAAAAGGGTGTCACACAGTCATCCTCAATTCAGTGAAAATGAAAGTCACATTATTTTTTGTATTAATCAAAGCAGGTAGGAAAAGAGGCAAGGAAGTAAAGCAAAGGGAGACTGAGGTATACCTGCACCTGTAGTATCTTTGCAAGGGAGGAGTGTGGAGGGAAGATCAGAACACAAATCAGCCTCATTTCTGGTGACCTACCAAAACTCCCTTGAGCCACAGTGACCCCCAGGCTGCATTGCAAGTGATTAAGCACAGTAGACATTTATGATTTGCAGTTGCATAGATTTTGTTGTGCATGGGGGGGGTGGAATTGGGCTCCCATTTTATTTACGACAGAAAACC